GTATAATTTGTATTGTTCGGGAGTGGTTTTCCTGAACTGTTGTTGCTGTGGACTGTTTTGTTCGGTAAATTTTGATCTTTTTTCATGTATTGATAGAATGATTTATTTGGTTCTTTATATTTTTGAGGTTTATTTTGATTGTCTTGCTGTTTTTGTCTACATTCGGAAATACTATGTCCGTATCGTCGGCAATAATTACACCATTTTTTGAAAGATGGTTTGCGTTTGAAGTTTGGGTTCTTTTCGTAAATATTGAGTATTTCAGTGATTTTTTCAACGAGGTCTGTCTCTGATTCCTGTATATTATTAATATTAGTGGGAGTCGTTTCAATTCTGTTAACGTATTGTAATTTCAGATTTTCCGTTTCTTCTAGTTTCATCGTGATTTCTGCTTGTTCTAATTTGTCTACTAGTTTTCGAAAATCTAAATCGGGTTCTCGAATTGAAGAAGGATGGGATGCTCTCTTTTTTATTGCTATTTTCCTTAATTGTGGTGTTAAGGTCATCATTAAGATTTCTGTCATCTTTGTGTTTTTATAGTCGTGCGTATTTAGTGAATATGCTTTTCGAACTAGTGTTTCGATTCGTACTGCTATTTGCTTGATGGTTTCGTTTGGTAATCTGCGAATTTCATTACATAAAACTCTTTGTTGTTGTTTGTTTCTTTCGGAGTCAAACATTTTTGAAAATTCTTGTGTAAATCTTTTCCAGTTTGATTTTATTTCTAGAGGTAGTACTGAAAACCATTTTTGGGCTGCGCCATCTAAGGTTGTTTGTATTAACGCTGTGCGTCGATGTATCCAGTTTTGATGTAGTGGCGTATTAATTGGTTCAGGTCCAATATTTAAAATCAGGTTTGCTGTTACTGCATTTAAATAATCTTCTACAGAGTATTCAGGGTCTGTTCCTGTGAAAACCATTAAAGGTTTGTTTGATGTTATTGATGATCCACCCATAAGGTATGGATTCATTGTCATTTGTAATGATTCTGCTGCATTTGGCATTTGAGAAAAATTTGAAAGTTGATTTCTTGTTATTTCATGTTGCTGGAGATAATATGGGAGTGGTATTTCATTTTGCATTTGTGATGGTTGATACGAGTGTGCAGTCATTGGATTTTGTTGTTGAATTGGTTGAAAAGATTGTGTATTAATTAGATTTTGTTGTTGAATTGGTTGTTGATGTTGTGCATCTATTGGTTGTGGAGAAAAATTTCGATGATTTGTACGTGTTCTCTGTATTCCTTGTCTACGATATTCTTGAGTATTTGGTGCAAATATATCTGTTTGTAAGAAATCATCATCTGAGGATAAATAATCCATTTGATAAGATGTCGGTTTTTTATTTTTATTTTGTTGAAAAAATGGGTAATTTTCACTGTGATCCTGTGAAGGATTTGTTTGGAAATTTATTGAATTAGGTTGGGTCATTGGGTTATCCCAATTTCGAGATCTTGTATATTGGTTAAAATTTCTTTGTGGTTGATTATATGTTTTTGATGGATGTATATAATTATAATTATGGTCTGTAAAGTTGTTTCTAGTGAATGTTTTGCGTGTTTTTGATGGTATTGTCATGGGTCTGTATGTTTGGTAATCCATATGTGAATATTTAGGGACAACCGAAGGTTTAACGGTTGATTGTAAGGTTACCTGTGTTTGTGAAGGATTTGTGTTTCTTGGTGTTGTTAAATTTGGGCGTATTGGTGAAATACTTTGTTGTGTAGTTGTTGTGTGTACAATTTCTTCATTTATGAAGTGTGATGGTGTCTGGATATCTTGTTGAGTAAGATTCCTAGTTCCATTGAGGTTTTCATTGTGTATAACTGTAGAGTTTAAACTATTATTTTGTGTATCGGGCAAAAATGTATTATAGTTTAATGGTGTTGCATCAATGGTTAATGGTATTACTCTTACATAATCTCTTATGTAAGATATCGTACTTATTGCTTGACTTGAGATTGATTGTGGGAAGCTTATAAATGCGGGATGAGACCATTCGGGGTCCCAAACATAATCTGATTGTTCTGTGATAGCGGTATCATCGTTCGAGTTTTGGGGTCTAAAATTTTTTCTTGCTTGTGCAATTAAATCAATATTGTGTGTGAAATAATCTATTATGAACCATGCCAAAATTTTTTGTAGATCGTGTTTTGTATGTTGTGAAACGTCGTCTTTCGTGAAATTTTCTTTAATGATGTTTAAATAACTAGAGAGTAGTGTGATTTCATGTCGTACTCTTAAATGTTTGGATGTTTCTGTCGGTGAGACATTTGTTATTGGGATTTCGTTTTCTAATATCGAAATATAACTATATATTATTGCGAAAACTTCATTGGTGAATATGGAGTTTGCTCTTTGTGAGTTATGATATTGGATGCTTTTTATATATTCTGAAAAAACTTTTGAAAATTCTAAATCAAGATCGTCTGTTTGAATTGTATATTTTCTATTATTATGGTTTGGTGAGGTGAATTCTATGGAGTAGATTCCATACTGTTGTGTTATGTTGCATATATCTTTTAAGTAGTGGTCTATGATTTGTCTTTTGATTTTTACATCTGGGAACTCTGTTTTACATGGACTGATTCCGGGTTCAAATAAATTTAATAGTAAATTTTTGCAAAATATATGCTGTCCTCTATCGGTATCTGCATCTACTATAAAAGGAAAGATTTCATCATCATCTGGAGTTTCGTCACCTGGGGTGTGCGTTGAGCTCATTTTTTCGTTCGATGACTATTAATATGTAATTATCAATGTGTCTAATTGGTTGATTCCAATTGTATAAATGTACTGGTTTGTGTTTATACTGCTTTTTTATTCTTCTTTTTCCTCTTTTTGATGAATTTGAAGTTGTTTCTGAGTCAGAAAAATATAATTGATCGTGAAGTGGGCAATTTTTATCTATTGATTCTTTTAGTTTGTAAAGTTCGTCTAAACTGTTGATTTCTGATTCTGAAAATGCGTTTCGATTTTTTGAAAATCTTTTTCGTGTTATTTGTCTTTGTTTCGTTATTATTTTTCTCTTTAATGTTTGTCGTTTTGTTCGAATGTATCCAACTGTTTGTGTATGAGGTGTGATTACAAGGTCGTATTTTTTGTTATCTATTTCACAATTGTGTAAAACGATTGTTTGTTTATTTCCTAGGTTTTTAAATGACATAAGGTTTAGGATGACGGATGCAAAAGGTTGTTAAATGGTTTCTATTTTCTTAAACTGTTAGTTCTTACGATTTTTTGGTTAGCTTAACCTGGGTCTATTTGTTCAGGGTTGGAGAGAAAAGTATATCGATTCCGAAGAATGATTTTTTACTTTCTCGTGGCTAGTATAAGTTAAGGTGTTAACTTACTTAATCTTACTTAGGGGTAGTGATTGTGTTCAAGGGTTGGAGAATAGTAAATCGATCCACAAGGTTCAGGTATAATTAGAACGCGAGTAGTTCGTTAGATACTATTTTAAACTTACTAAGTCTAAGATTTATCCTGGGTCTGGTAAGAGGGGGGGTCAAGTGAAGGATGAATAACCGAAGTTCTTCACTGTTTATCCTAATTTGAATGATTAGTTTTGTTTAAAAATTTCTATTAGTCTTAGGTCTTTAGAAAGGGTTGGGTAGTGAATCGACGTTTGAGGTCGTTAGACACTAATTAAGTGGGTGGGGGAGAACAAAGTTGTTCTGTTTGATCCAAGGATAAGCCTTGATGATCAAATTTGAAATTTAATTAAGTAGAAAATGATTTAAGATCCAAGGATAAGCCTTGATGATCTGGTTTTAAAATTAAGTGAATTTAAGTTTTAATAAAATTTTAAATGTGTGTAAAGGAAAGATTTAGTGTTTTGATGATATTAGTGGGTTTATGATTGCTGTTATTGTTATGTTTTAGGTGATGGAGCTGGAACAACAGGATGATTTATGATCACTAACCATTTATTGTCATGCTACTAATTTTTATTTTGTTTTTTTCAATAAATATTTTTCAAACATGTTTTGTATATTACTGCAGAGTTTTAGGAAAACGATCTTAGATCTTTTTATCAATCGTTATTGTATATTAATAATTTTGTTTAGCGCCTGAAATGATTTTGAAGATTAACTTCAAGGTTTTATGTTTGCAAATGAAAATCTAAATTCATTGCTAGTAGTATTCTAAATATAAAAGTTTGTTCTGGCTTTTGCCGAACTATCATATAGCTATATGGCAAGTTTCTACTTTGTCGTATGTCGTCTCTGGTTCGAGGTCTTCTTCCAATTCCGGGTAGTTCTGTTATGGTTCGGAATATTGGCTCTGATCTATTGAGTCGTAGAGACATTTCGATTAAATTATTGTCGTATAACATTTTGTAAATGTTTTTGTCTAATTTCTAATCTATTTTGGTTAATTCTAAGCTATTAAGGTCTTGTTCGAGACTTATGGTCGCACCAGATGAGTTAGGACCGAGTTGGTTAACTCATAGAGTAATTTCGGATAGGGTACACCGTCTGCTCGTCACGCTATCTTATTTTCGGCCGGATAGATTCGTGCAACTTCTTAGTCTAATACCGATCCTAATCTTACTCTTATACTATCTAGTCTCAGGTTGTTTAACTAGTCTCTGCTAGGCTCAATAGATCTAGGGTATACTGGTTTATTGCGGCTGCTGAAGTGCTCGGGAGAGTCCAACTAATTTCTAAGTTAAATTCAAATCTCTCTGGTGCTGAAATTACAAGTAACTTCAGCACTTACAAATAAGTGGGTTGTTAGTTAGATGGATCATGATTGGTTAATATTAAATACTTTACATTGGTAAAATATCTAAATTATCCAATCATAAAATGTAGTTTAGATCAGGTTCCAATACGCAAAAATCAATATTGGAAATAGCAGTCTTTTTTGATATGCAACGAACGCTTTCATGAAGTACGAGAAAGTTTTTTTGAGTTAATACAAGCCATTTTAGCTCATCAGCTCATTGCAGATTGAAAGAAAGCTGCTATTTGACTCGAATATGGTGTATTTTATGCTGAGGCAAAACGAACCCCAGCATGGTGCTCAGGATACATTCAGCTTGAGATTGGAATGCCGTAAATTTAGAGACTGGATAGAGCACGACTTTTACCGTTGGAAACCAAACTACTTCTACCAGCCAGTGATGAGACACTCAACAGAACAAGAAATCCTTAAAGTGCCAATTAAAGTGATAGGTGAGAATTCAGCGCTCGAACAAGAACAAAATCTAATCTAATGATTGAATATATGTCTTTTTTCTTTTTTCCTTCATATGCCAAACTCTTTTAACTTCTAATTATTTTACAGAATATTATGACCATTAAAACAACATAAAATTTTTTCAAAACTTAAAACTCAAATGTGGAGAGTTCACTTGCTCATAACTTTAAGGTTATTTCTCTTTAATCAATCTTATAATAAAGCTTAATAACGATTTAATTCTGAAAATAAATAAGATTTTCACCACTTGTGAAATTTCAACGCGAATTCAGACTTTTCTCATAAATGCGTGTTGCCCTTCCCCGTCAGATATACACAACAACTTCAAACTTAGCAGTGACTTTATTGATTTTGTAAGGTAGTCTTTAGTAACGAAAGGTGCTTTTTGTCAACTTTCATGCCAAACTTTTTGACAGTTGGACCACGTGATAAAAAACTAATTTTTTTCATAAATATCACAGATGGATGGGAAACAATACGAGGCTCAAATTTTATTGTAAGAGTTCGAAAAGAGACTACATTGACAGCGAGAAATCAAAATTGGATTTCATGGTGTTGCCAGGTTCACAACCTTCTCGTTTTTTGCTCGATGAGAATTTTTTATCAGAGAAATTTTGCAAAAAATAAAATTGACCTTTTCCATTAAATATCCTTCCGCCCTCAAAAAACAAAGTGGCCATAAATGTGAAAAAAACACAATGATGGGAAGTATTTTTAAAATTATGTGGAGGGGTAAAATGCGAGGCCAAAGACATTTAACGAGAAAACTTGAACTTCAAGAAAAATTTTGTCCGAAGATTTCTTCTTGTTCGATAACAAAACATGAACTAGCTCATCATAATTCGTCTTTTTGTGTACTGTAACAACTTCAGAGATTTGATGAATCAAACTTCTAAAAGCACCGTTTCGGTAATAAAATTTTATGCCATTTGATGCACCGAACTTAAATCTGATGCACAGAACTCAGCGACCAATAAAAACTAGCAAAGAGTGCATGCACACAAAAAGTTCGTCTTCTTGTATCTCGATTTGATTTGATGAGGTTGACCTGAAAAAGACTACAATGTCGACGTAGCTCATGGTTACTTGCCGTGTTAATGAGTAATATCTACCAATGTTCTGATATCAGTCGCTGACAATTTGGAAAAGTTGTATACCAATCCACCTGGGATCCTTAGGGGGTAGGGGGGGGGGGGGGGGGGGTTTGAGGCTCTCTACTTTTAAAAACGGCTCCATATTTTTGAAAAAACGTGAAATTAGTATCAGTAGTATATGTGTGAGGCGATCAGTGGAGGGGGAATAGATAGGGAATAGAGCAACCGGTCACTCACCTGTGTATTAGGATAGGGAATAGATTTCCCGTGTATTAAGATAGGTTTTAGGTTTTGTCATTTGTTAAGATAGGAGGTTTGAGATGATAAGATGGCAAGTTTCAAAAAATGTTGTTCTAATCCAGTTGAGTTTATATTGAAACTAAAACTTAGAAGATTATCTAAAGTTTTTCAGAAAAAAAAGAATAAATTAATGTAAGCTGTTAAATTAGGACGTTCCGACTAATCGGTTGAAAGTTTTATCATGAAATCAGCTTCATCATGAACTCGTCTCGGGACATTGGACTGTCTGCAGAGTCTTCGAGAGTTTTGCTGCATAGGCACAACAATTCAGCACAGCAGAATTCTTCTTCAAATAGTCCGGCTCTCGTTTACTATGCGTTTTTGAACAGCGCATCATGTACATGGGAAAAATTATCCTTTGCATCGGCTACAAAGTCTTCTCTACAGTCAATTCGAAGAATTTGTTTCTCTTGAGCTTTCCCAGGTAATACACAACCGTATAAAATCTCACCGGCGAATGCTAGATACGAAGAGTCCGTATCCATCTCCAAATCCTCATTGATTTTGTAAGGTAGTCTATAGTAATGAAAGGTGCTTTTTGTCAACTTTCATGCCAAATTTTTTGACAGTTGGACCACGTGATAAAAAACTATTTTTTTTCATAAATATCAAAGATGGATGAGAAACAGTACGAGGCTCAAATTTTTTTGTAAGAGTTCGAAAAGAGACTACATTGACAGCGAGAAATCAAAATTGGATTTCATGGTGTTGCCAGGTTCACAACCTTCTCGTTTTTTGCTCGATGAGAATTTTTTATAAGAGAAATTTTGCAAAAAATAAAATTGGCTTTTTCCATTAAATATCCTTCCGCCCTCAAAAAACAAAGTGGCCATAAATGTGAAAAAAACACAATGATGGGAAGTATTTTTAAAATTATGTGGAGGGGTAAAATGCGAGGCCAAAGACATTTAACGAGAAAACTTGAACTTCAAGAAAAATTTTGTCCGAATATTTCTTCTTGTTCGATAACAAAACATGAACTAGCTCATCATAATTCGTCTCTTTGTGTACTGTAACAACTTCAGAGATTTGATGAATCAAACTTCTAAAAGCACCGTTTCGGTAATAAAATTTTATGCCATTTGATGCACCGAACTTAAATCTGATGCACAGAAATCAGCGACCAATAAAAACTAGCAAATAAAAACACTAGGCACAACATTTCAGCACAGCAAAATTCTTCTTCAACTAGTCCGGCTCTCGTTTATTTTGCGTTTTTGAACAGCGCAGCATGTACATGGGATAAAATTATCCTTTGCATCGGTTACAAAGTCTTCTCAACAGTCATTTCGAAGAATTTGTTTCTCTTGAGCTTTCCCAGGTAATACACAACCGTATAGAATCTCACCGGCGAATGCTAATTACGAAGAGTCCGTATCCATCTCCAGTTCCTCGAATTTGTTCTCATCATAATAATCACGGAAGAAGTTGAAGTATAACTCCAGCATTATGCCAGCAACTTGGCATAGTGAAGAATGAAAAAGCCTACAATTATTTGCTATCTAAGTTCAATTGTTGATTTGAATTGTTGTACTTCATTTAGGTCTTTTTTAAAAACATTAAAATTCTTGAAAAAATTATTATTTATTGATTTGAGTGTCTTTTTATTGCCTAGATATTTAATTAATGTGATTCTGGATCTGTCCGTTTTTGATAGCCCTACGAGCTGTTACCCAGAAGTTTCATCGTCTCAGCCACGACTCCAGAGTGTGGATTCTCGTCTCCTTCTTGTCGATCATCAACAACAGAATGAACGAAAATATTGAAGCATTTCGCAGGCGTGTACTCAACAGAACGATACCTTATTGTACATTGAAATCCAAGTTCAATGTAAAAGTTAAGGAGGGGAAAAATGATTGTTCCAATTTCCAATTTTGAGCTAGAAATCAGCATTTGTTGCGGATTTTTCAACAATTCATTTTTTTTGCATATTTTTTCATGTTTTCTTCAATATCGTTTCGGCAGACGTCAATGTTTTTAAAAATTGGAGAAAAATGTAAAAACTTGGATTTGAAATTGTCGAGAACTATTGAGTTGCATTGGACATAGCCATGAAAAGATCCATTCTTTATTTTCAACTAAAAAATCAGTAGACAGAGGTCTTTGGTAAGGAAATCTGGTCTTAACATTATTCTTGACCGAAAGATTTGTTTTAATTTCCATCACTCACACTCCGAACTTTCTTGATTATTGTACACTTTTTCTCTTACATACTCTCGTTTCAAGTCATCCATTTCTCGCTTATTATTTCTCTTTTCAGTATCTTGATCCGACAAAGATGGAAGGGTTTTCTGGTAGGAGCAAAAGTGATAGTAGCAGTCTATAGCTTTAAATACTGTTTTAAAGTGATCACAGTAGCCATCATTATTGAAACAGTCAATATTCTTCTGCTTTCCGGTTTTACACTCTGGTCTCAATTTGTGAAAGAAGGACAAAACGATGCTCTCGAAAACTTTTGTTCTGCTTTTTCTATTCTTGAATGGTTCAGTATTAGAATCAAACTGCCACCCAGTGTAAAGTTCGGTCGGCATCTCCTCACACATTGAGAATTGACATAACTGGCTGTAATCAATTCCATCAATTCCAACTATTGTTTTGCATACATTTGACGAGTTACGAGTATAAGTTTGGTCAACAACTGCTTTCCGGGTAAGAACTAAGGATGGACCAACACTCATGTCTTTTCTGATTTTCTCACACAAATATTTATCAACTTAAGATCTTTGTCGTTACACCATTATAAAAATTCTTTGAAAGTTGTCATGTTGTGGTGTTGCCAGATGAGTTTCGAACAAGAGTAATTTTTGGAATATTGTTTGCGGAATTGAGTGAATACGTAGCTTTTTCAAAACACTCTGTTAATTAACTCCGCCATTAACTAATTTTTGGTAATCAATGAAATCTTTTTCTAGATTGTCGTTGTTTCTTAACTTACTGAAAAAGTCTTTTATTGGTGGCAATTCCATAGAGTCAAGCTTCTCTGGACTATCAGACCACTCATAGAGGAACAATACTTTTGTTTCACTTGTCTTATAGGCTTGTAGAAATATATCCAAGTTTGGTTATTCTCCCGAGAAATTTCATTATGTCGAGAAAATATACGTCTCCAAATCTGAAGGATAAGAAAACATTCGCCGTTTCAATACCTGTTGGTTCGATATCTTTATCACAAATATGGTATAAAAACAAATAAGATTTGATAAAGTTTAGATCGTCTCTCCCACTATTGACTCCAAAACAAGGCAAAGTATGTTTAAAGCGCTCTAAATCTTCCTCGCCATCATCAGCACATTCATCTTCATAATCAAAGAAATCTAGTCTTTTAGATAAAGTTCTAGCATTAGGTTTATCAAAAACTTTTTTGACTCGAAAAATTACACTGATTTCGATTTCTTGAAATTTAGTTCATATTTGTGATTTGCTTTCTCAGCTAGAAGTTCTAAGCTGGAAACAAACGCAATTATTATTAGTTCAGGATCTTTTTCTCATCAAAAAAAGTGTATAATCTTGCCGAACTAAAAATATTGAGACGAGAATAGAAACATGTTTTACAAGTTAAGAGATGTCCGTTAAATAGTCTG